ATTTGAATCATCAATGTCTTCTGCGTCCATTGATTCTTCTTCGTCATCGTTATTATTTACAGTAGAAACATTTTCGTCTAAAAGTGATGTTGAGTTCACAACGTCTTCTTCGTTGTCAGAATCTTGAAGCCCATCAACCGATTCAGAATCGCTGGGAATTTCGGTTGTAACATTTTTTTTCTCCCCATATTTATAACTTTTTGTAACTTTGAATACTTTCAATGTGCAAAAAGTACCTTTTATAAAAAAATATAAGCTCACGAAGTCATGTAAAAATATAAAATTAGTATTAGTTTTGATCAATAGCATTTGCAATGAAAAGTCAGAATTTTTGAAAATATTTCAGGATTGTAAAAAAAAATTATTATGTTGATTTCCTATTCATAATAAAAAAGAGTTGTGATAAAAACAAAAAATTACCTCGAAATATATCACCTCATCTACGATTTCAACGATTTAGATGTAAACCTAAACTACATATAATTTTTATCTCGATTTTTATAAAGTGATTTCGAATTGGATTGAACAACAAGTAATGATTTATGAGCTGTTTTTAAAATTTTGATACTACCATCTTAGATCCGCGATTTTGAATTGAAAATTTGACAATTTTGATGTTAGATTTATGATCGGCAATCTTAAAAACCCCCAAGAGATAGAGATTTTCAAGTTGATACATTTATTATTTTTTAATTTCTGCCGCCATCTTAAATACGCCATTTTGAATTGAAAACTTTGGAATTCCGACTTTATTTTTGTAATCAGCGACCCCAAAACCCCCGAGTAGAGATTTTTAAGCTGATATACGAGGTGTGATCAAAAAGTAAGGTGAATTTTGAAATTTAGCGGGCTACGTCCGTTCGATCTTCGACTTTTTCATTTGGTTATGTCGGTACACTCGTCTAGAACATACGTTCCAAATTTCAGCTTTGTAGTATGTTTGGTTTGTTTGTGAGAGGCATCAAGGTTAGAAGTGTTTTGCGTGCTCCACGATTTGCTGCTGTCTAAAAACATGGATCAAAGAGTTTGCATTAAATTTTGTGTGAAAAATGGAATCAAATGTTCCAAAACACTTGAAATACTGAAAGTGGCATACGGTGAGTCTACTTTAAGCCAAAAAAATGTTTACAAGTGGTATAAACTCTTCCAAGAAGGCCGAGAAGACACCGACGACGAACCTCGTTCTGGACGCCCCAGCACATCAACAACTGATGAGAATGTTGAAGAAGTGAAGAAAATAGTGTTGGGAAATCGTCGAATTACCATTAGAGAAATTGTTGATGATATTGGCATCTCATTTGGTTCGTGCCAATCAATTTTGACGAGTGTTTTAGACATGAGACGTGAGTCAGCGACGTTTGTTCCGAAATTGCTCAATTTCGACCAAAAGAAACGTCGCATGAGCATCGCTCAAGAACTGTTGAATGACGTCAACGACGACTCACATTTACTCAAAAGGGTCATAACTGGTGACGAATCATGGGTATATGGTTATGATATCGAAACCAAAGTCCAATCGTCCCAATGGAAGAGCCCAGATGAGCCAAGACCGAAAAAAGTACGCCAAGTTCGATCAAATGTCAAAGTTTTGTTCACTGTTTTCTTCGATTACCATGGCGTGGTGCATCAGGAGTTCTTCCCATATGAACGTATGGTCAATAAACAGTATTATCTTGAAGTTATGCGCCGTTTACGAGAGGCAATACGAAGAAAACGCCCAGAATTGTGGAAAAACAATTCATGGCTTTTGCATCACGATAATGCCCCTGCTCACTCATCTTTGCTTGTGAGAGATTTTTTGGCCAAAAACAATACCACAATCATGCCTCACCCACCATATTCACCGGATTTGGCCCCATGTGACTTTTTCTTGTTCCCAAAACTAAAGAGACCTATGAAAGGACGGAGATTTGCAACGATTGAAGAGATAAAGACTGCATCGCTGGAAGAGCTCAAGGCTATACCGAAAAGTGCTTATGAGAAGTGCTTTGAGGATTGGAAAAACCGTTGGCATAAGTGTATTGTATGTGAGGCGGATTACTTTGAAGGGGACAACATAAATATTGATAAATAAATAAATATTTTTTCTTAAAAATACAAAGTCACCTTACTTTTTGAACACACCTCGTATTCGTGGTAGACAACGCCCTCATAATCGAAAAAAACAATGAACTTTTTGTTGCTTCGACTTTAACGGGCTTTTTTCGGCCCAGGCTCGAATAGCAGCTTCCACTGCGAAAATTGTTGTTTTGTTTGCAATATTTCAATAGTTACCGCATAACTTTTACCGAGATTAAAGCAAAATGTTATGGTAATTCGCTTTTCCGTTCGTTTTGCCATTTTGAGCAATAAACGAATTGTGACGAACGTAAAAAAGTCGCTATAGACAAATACACGTTACGCGGGAAACTGAGGCGTTTAATCGGTATCTCGGGTTACTTCGAGAAGGTTAGGTGACGTTTGTACTCTCCAGAAATCGCCTGAGTCTCTCTGCGGAAAGATACGCATGGTGGTTGAGTACTTTTGGGACAGACCTCGTATGTTGTTATATAGATGATTTATATCTCAATTGCAAAGACGAAAATATTACTTCATGGAACTAAACTACTATATTTATGTTTTTTGAATTCGCTAAATCCGAATCAAAAGTCCGTTTTTCGTCATTATGTCAAAGTCAGAAGAACTGGACCTATTTGCACACATTCATGGGATGGTCTCGATTGACCTTGATCTTGACATCATTGAGAAAAACAGACTTTGGATTCGGATTCAGCGACCCTAAAAACATATAGTAATAGTAATTTAAGCTAACTTGACTATTTTTCCAGGATTTGATCTTGAATTGACCTTGAACCTGACCTGATCGAGACAAATGGACACCGGATTTGTATTCAGTAACCTCCAAAACATGAGGATATGGTAGTCTGGTTCCGTGTACAGAAAATTTTTTGCTTGTGGAGCTGAGTAATAAAACTACTAAATTCTACCCATTAAAAGCTGGCGTCTCTCAAGGAAGCGTTCTTGATCCATTATACTTTATATACACCCATGATCTTCCTACCAATGAAAATGTCAACGTACGTACACAGACGATACAGCTATATTAATATCACAAGCTAGTGAAATAATAGTCTCTTAGAATATACAGAAATATTTGAATGCAGCTATAAACTGGTTTAATAAATATAATATAACAATAACTGAACGAAATCAATTCAAGTATCCTACACTCTAGAAAAAGGATCTTACCTACCAGTGCACATAAATAATCAACCAATCCTACAAAGCAAAATATAGATGGACCAAAAAAACAGCAACTTTATCTACAGATGAGAAAATATTACTGGCTACTATAAAGAAAGTTAAATTTTTCGATTAAAAATAAACTACTTATATAAAAATCTATAATTAAACCAATATGGATATATAGCATACAACTCTGGTCTACTGCTACAAAGTCAAACATAGATATAATAGGAACATTTCAAACTCAGATCCATTACTGATGTACCATTGTTTATCACAAACGAATACGTAACGAAGGAAGTTAATACAACGACCATAATAGAAAAAATTGAAGTAGTTTGCAAAAAATATACTGATAGAATATCGAAATATTTAAATCGACTATCAAAATAGTTAATGCTCACATCACCAACAGCTTCAAGATTTAAAAAATATAAAAACACGGTTTACTCATAGTTAAAAAAAGCATGCAATTCATGTATTGGTACGAATCAATAGTGAAGTAACTTCATATAAATTGTAACGACCTTATTTATAATCAATTAATGTAATTATATTTTAAGATGTACTTATGGTTTATGGACACATTGTAAATATATTGAAAATTAAAAAAAATTTCTACACAATTATCTGCAAATTTTGTAATATATTTTTATGCGGTTTTTTTATTTAAGAACATATGCAATTATATCCATCAACTTAATTGCCATACTCGTATTCGGCAATTCGTAAGCTAAATGATGATTTCTCCAGAATGTTTACGACATTACAACAGCGGAAAAATTTATTTACCTTACTGTCGCTCCTGCCATGAACATTTTATTGTTCTTGATATAGGTAGTAAATCATTTTGTTATATAAATCCAAAAAAGAATAGAAAATTAAGGAGGTAAAATATGAAAATTTTATTTTCAATCGTTCCAATAAGTATCATCCTGAATGGTGTTAATGAAAAAAAAGTTTCATATTCTACATAAACTAAAGGCATTAAAAAAATATAGAAAAAATATTAGATAGAAGTATGTTCAAGGAGTGTTCCATGGATATTGTTTCCACGTAGTACTCTCAGAATTATGTACTTCTATTCTTTCCTCTATCCTCACAGTGCTGCTGTCTTTTTCTTTTTTTTTGCTCATTCTCTTTCTTGGAAGGAGGGGAGAGCACGAGATATAAACTGTTTTGTAGTTTATATCATTAATTTTTTAAGTTGTGTGTGTGTGTATGTGTGTGTGTATATGTATTTGTAAGCGTTCATACACAAGATTATACGTATTATGGTTAGGACCGTAAAATAAGCCATCCTATATTAATAAATTCACAATTTATCAAAAGTTATGGTTGACATTAGAGGGACTATGGTAAATCCGGAATACTTTAAATTTTATAATTTAATTTTTTTAATTGAATTTTAAAAAGATTTTTTTATAATTGGCTTAAATACTTTCATTTTTAACTGAAATTACAACTTACCTAAATTACCTAAAATATTGATTTTCCGCAAATAGACTATTTTAAATTATACTTTAATAATGAAAATTTTATAATTAAATGTGTTTTACACATGCCTAATATATATTTTTATTATCAAAAACATAAGTGCTACAAAAATATCTATACATAAATAATAACGTTTCACTTTCAATGTGCATATACTGACCATACATAATTTTTTTTCTAATCTAGGTTTTCTCAGATATTACAAAAATAATTATCAAGACTGATATAGATAATAATTTACTGAAAACAAAACTGACCGATATTTATCTCCGATAAAGTTGATAAGTTGTCCGTCATCAGTGCGCCATCTAATGACAGGAATTTCCTGTAAACCTCCATTTTGTATCGAGTTAAACTGTGCCTGGCAATCAAGTCTAGCTGGTTTTCCTTCTTCTACCAATAAATCTTGGGGCTCATAGCTAAACTGTAAGCTTGATGCTGAAAATAAAACGAAAAATTTAGATCAGTTAATAAATCAAAACATAATTTAATGCGAAAATAAGTAAAAGTTTTTGTAGGCGAAATATGACAATACGTGGAGCACCTTAAACCATGATTCAAAATATGTTACATCTATCGATATTAAAATAACTCTATACATTTAGATATTTGAGAAATTTGGAGAAACTCTGTATGTCGGGCGCACTAAACGCTCACTTGTTATCGAGTAACCATTTGTGTGGAATAGCTAGTTAAAAAATCTCTTATGAATGCGGCTAGCTGCGCAACTTACCGTTTTTTATAGTTTCGGAATAGACTGATTTACAAACCTACAAGTATTTGAAAGTCGATGTTTTCACTTACGAATATTGATGAGCAAATATAGCCAAGCACCCTATACGCATTATTTAGTATAAAAATTAAGACAGAGAAAGACAGTCGTTCTGTATCAAAAACAAATTACCAACTCGACAAAGCACATGGTAATATCGCGATTGTAAGAAAATCAAAAATAAATTGTTACCTCCACACACATATTAATGGAAATAACCTAGAATCAACTAATATAATAAACAATAACAACGGGCCAATAAGAAGCTGAGCTGTTTACTACCCTCCGAACAAAATAATTTCCAAAGAAAACTGGATAGACTTCCTCCAAACATTAGGAAATCGGTTTATAGCAAGAGGCGATTATATAATTAAGCATCAAGTGAGGATCAAGATCAATAACGCCAACCTTCAGGAGCGGGCCCTTAGAGTAGGCGGAGTTATGCTGTTTCTGCGTCTCACAAAAGCTCCAATGGGTTCCCCAAACCTCCGTTGGAACAGATTCTAAGACTGTTGGAGAATCTCAACCCGACCTTCAAAACCAACGATTAGCGTTTGATTAAGACGACCGGCAATAAGGGATCTGCACTGATGGGAGACCATAAACTTCTGGTAATGCAGATCCCTGAAAAGCAGGTCAAGGCTCTTCAAGCACTGGACTTTCGGCTATATTATGTCCTGGGTAGGGTCACCTTCAAGGTGCCCTGGGGGATAGAAGGTGAAGCAGATAAGGAAAGGGCTAGGACAGCATCGTAAAATGGTTGCAATGGGCTTAATTATCTAGATTCACTTGCACAACTCCAAAAGGGCCTCTGGTGTTCTCCAGAGGAGCATGGCGATGGCGCACACATACAGATCACTAATCTAAGGACCTTGGATAGTGTACAGTGCGGTAAGGGGTCTGGCAGACATTTAGTGCTTTTGGGCATCGGGGGCCACCCGGCCCAGGACTAGTGTGACCATTAGGAGAATCGTTACTTCTCCGCTGTGAAAGATCAGCACAAGTGACTGGTTTTTCCTAAAATTATGAATTAGTTACAAACAAGAAAAAATAATTTTATTTAAATTGGCTCCATTTATTCTATAGTACAGGTCTTAACAAAGACAACGAGTGCTCCCAAGATGATTTCTGTTCACTCTAACCGGCCAGAAAGGCGTGGTAAAGTCAATTAAAAAAAAAAAGATGTAACAATTAAAGGAATTTTCTAGGGCCGCTAAATAAGGTTTTGGGACTTATAGGCAAGAAAATTAACGCTCATACCCAGTTCTTCAAGATATAAAAAGTTTCATGACGATATTTTTTTTAGAAATACTTTTATATGCTAACAAAGAAAACATTCAATTTTCATTATTAAATACCGGCTCGTATAAAGCTTCCCTTTAAAGAAAAAAAATTAATTACAAGTAACCTTACCCAACTGTCACCAACCGATCAGAATGTAACTTTGTACATCGATTGAAAACTAAAAAATATGGAACCCGTGTTTTGTTATTTTTCTGAAATTAGCTTCTAAGCGGTAGAAATCACCCCAGAAGTATTATGTTATAAGACCATATAGTGTTATAAGACCAATTAAGGAAGTATAATGGAAAAACATCCTCATTTGAATAACACAAATCTGCTTCATCAAGACAATGTATGAGTGTACACTTGCGCAGTTTTAATGGTTCAAAATGAGGAATTGAAGAGTTCCTTGTGAGTGGAAAAATACCAAAGACGGAAGTATGCATTGAAAATAACTGTTATGTATCTTGCCGTTATTGTAGGTATTTTTCTAATTATTATTCCTGTAATGTTATCAAATCTCTGGAGGCTTTTTTGTAATTAAATATTATTAATTATTTGAAGTACTTCTTTTATGTTAAGTGATGTGATTTTTGTGCTATCTTGGACGTTAAAGTTTTCTAGAAAAGTTATTCTTCTTGTTCAATGATTATTCTATCGTGTTATTTTTATAATAAATCGAAGGTTATTTTTTCTTTGTCTGATATGGTTCATTTAGCGCAAGTTTTCTAATAGGTGGAATAAATAGCGTTAATCTTTTAAAGCGTTTAGTGGCTTACTATAGTGAATAATCCATTGATTCTGTTGCACTCAATGTTCGAACAAGGTTCGAACCAATAAGGTCAGTTTGCATTTATGTGTCCTTCATACAAAACTTAATTTAAGTCTTTGCATGCTTTGTTTAATTGAGTTTTATGTTCAACCAATCTGGTTGTCTAGTATCACTTCCTAACAAGTACACTACCCAACCGTCACCAACCGATCAGAATGAAACTTTGCACATTAATTGAACACTAAAAAATATGAAACCTTAGTTTAAGTTTTCTGAAATTATCTTTTAATGGGTGGAATCCACCCCAGAAGATTACAGAAGCAAAAATTTCTATGCATTGAATATAAAATGAAAATTCATGTATTTATTATTCCAGCCGATCCCCCCTAACCTTATTTGTAACCCAAATAATCCAGTCACCTTAAAAACACCTTTCTTATAAAACAACCTCTTACCCCAATTAAGATCAGTCATGTAATGTGAATATCACCTATTATTTATAATATTGTTTGTACTCTCGTGGTCTGTCACGTTAATGAGTACGAGGGTCGGTTGAAAAGTCCGTGCAAAGAGATGGCGCTACTAGTGCGTATCAAGGTTATTTTCAGTTAATGGCATATCTCGGAAGAGCACACACCATGTTTCAGCCAGATCGGCGAATTACTTTGCGTTTTACATTCGTTCCAATCAAAGAAATCGAGTGGTTGTAAAAAAATGGACGAAAAAGAATTTCGTGTATTGATTAAACATTACTTTTTCAAAGGTAAAACGCCTCAGGAGATTAAACAGAAGCTTGATAAATATTATGGTGATTGTGCACCTTCGATTAGAATCGTTTATAAGTGGTTTCAAAATTTTCGGAGTGGCCATATGAGCACAAAAGACGCTGAACGTTCTGGACGCCCCGTTGATGTTACCACTTCAGAAATCATTGATAAAATCCATGATATGGTGATAGCTGATAGAAGAGTGAAGGTGCGTGAGATTGCTAGTACTGTAGGTATCTCGAGCGAACGGGTAAATAATATTTTGCATCAACATTTGGACATGAAAAAGCTATCCGCTAGATGGGTGCCACGATTGTTCACGATTGACCAAAAACGAGATCGTGTGAAGTGTTGCAAGAATGGTTTGCAGCTGTTTCAGCAAAATCCGCAAGACTTTAAGCGTCGTTTCATCACTGTAGATGAAACATGGATACATCACTAATAGATAGTCGATGAAGATTATTCCTTGCGAATCCCAAAAGACAGTCGCCATAACCTTCCCGGCCGAAGCAATTATCTTCGCCTTTTTCGGAGCAGATTTCCCCTTGGTAACCCATTGTTTAGACTGTTCTTTGGTCTCAGGAGTATAGTGATGTATCCATGTTTCATCTACAGTGATGAAACGACGCTTAAAGTCTTGCGGATTTTGTTGAAACAGCTGCAAGCCATTCTTGCAGCACTTCACACGATCTCGTTTTTGGTCAATCGTGAGCAATCGTGGCACCCATCTAGCGGATAGCTTTTTCATGTCCAAATGTTGATGCAAAATATTATTTACCCGTTCGCTCGAGATACCTACAGTACTAGCAATCTCACACACCTTCACTCTTCTATCAGCTATCACCATATCATGGATTTTATCAATGATTTCTGAAGTGGTAACATCAACGGGGCGTCCAGAACGTTCAGCGTCTTTTGTGCTCATATGGCCACTCCGAAAATTTTGAAACCACTTATAAACGATTCTAATCGAAGGTGCACAATCACCATAATGTTTATCAAGCTTCTTTTTAATCTCCTGAGGCGTTTTACCTTTGAAAAAGTAATGTTTAATCAATACACGAAATTCTTTTTCATCCATTTTTTTACAACCACTCGATTTATTTGATTGGAACGAATGTAAAACGCAAAGTAATTGGCCTATCTCGCTGAAACTTGGTGTGTGCTCTTCCGAGATATGCCACTAACTGAAAATAACCTTGATACGCACTAGTAGCGTCATCTCTCTGACTTTGCACGGACTTTTCAAACGACCCTCTTATATGTAGGTGACGTCACGCTCCTTATATGGTCATGAAATTTTACTCTAGTACTAATACAATCATATAATATATGAGATAGCGCCGTTTAATATGCTAATAGATGTAAGTAGATTGAAGAGTTTAGCGGGTTGCAGTAATCCAGTGAAAATAAGAGAAGAGCTCATAGATAGGACCGTTACACGTATCAAGGAAGTACAAGAAATGAAATTCGAATGTATAAAAGAAAAGATAAAGTTAAATTATTGACACACAAAGACTTTACGGAAAATTGATCTACAATATTAAAAAATCCAGTGCAAGGGAAAAGATTTTGATTTTTACTGCTGTTTACACATAGGCGAAATTTCAAAGAATTATATTGTAATTAGTGATGACTTAAAACATGATTATTCTCATGTATTAGCAGTAATATAAAAAATTCTTGTACATATAACCAGATACACATGAGAAATGTATGGAAATTCAATTGAGTCTATTACTTTAATTTCTGATAAACACTATCATACGAGTATAAGTTATAACGGGGTGTGCTTTTTATTACGGCGAAATAGACATTATTATTCGCCTATCACCTTCCATAC